CCCCCACCATCATCACCTCACCCACACCTGTTACCCCCACCATCATCACCTCACCCACACCTGTTACCCCACCATCATCACCTCACCTTCGCAGTTTACTCTACGGAATTTAAGCACCACACACGCGCACGGATCCCGCATTCATTAATTTCCTGCCATACATATCTTGTTATTCATGGATAAATGCCTGTATAGATTATAGTACACTAAATTTTCGTGATTTAAAATTTGTGATGGTGTATATTTTGTACCCGTGTAGTGTGTACCCGTATAGTGTATACTCATGAATGTTATAAGTGCGCTGGGAAGGCCTAGAGCCAAGGCAACCGCAGTGTCACACTCACAAAACTTGGGGGTCGATTATCCAAATTTGAGTGTCCAAATTTCTTACCCAAAGCACCAGCAAAGAGCAAACTGATGCGCCATTTTACCAGGCCAAACTAAGTTAGGATGTCCCACACAAGGGCAAAAAGTACATTAACACGTTGACTCCGAAAAATATTCGCTTATTTCTCTGAGTGCAGCTAGGCAGACTCGTTCGCACGCCGCGCGTACGAGTGATTGGCATCATTGTGGCCGTGGCGAGTGATTGGCATCATTGTGGCCGTGGCGAGTGATTGGCATCATTGTGGCCGATCATTGTGGCCGTGGCGAGTGATTGGCATCATTGTGGCCGTGGCGAGTGATTGGCATCATTGTGGCCGTGGTGAGTGATTGGCATCATCGAGTGATTGGCATCATTGTGATAGCGACGAGTGATTGGCATCATTGTGGCCGTGGCGAGTGATTGGCATCATTGTGATAGCGACGAGTGATTGTCATCACTGTGGCCGCGACGAGTGATTGGCATCATTGTGGCCGCGACGAGTGATTGGCATCATTGTGGCCGCTATATATTTAAATTTACATATTTATACGAAATGGAATATCGTCTTCAGCGTATATTTTCCGTCACTTTGCATCAGTAAAACTAAAGCCATTAAATTTTTCAAGAACTGAAATATTATTCTTATATTTTTAAGACACACGCATCAATGCCACTAACTATACATTGTAACTCCAGATCAACTGAGGGAGCAGCAGGAACTTTCAAAATTAAATAAATTAAATTGTCGCGCAATCTTTTACTTTTCTTTCTAATTCCCATTGCACATTGTTCATATCAATTTTTTTCAAAGTATTTTAAAGATGGCATCTATGAGCAATGTTATCAGCAAGGCGTGAGTTCCACAAATTAGATTTGCGGTATTCAGAATACTGCGCCGTGAAGTGATAAAGATAATGTTAGAATAACATTAATGAGATATGCTAAGAAATGATCGTGAATTTATCACGAGTAGGTACTTACCATATGCCTGATTGAAGGCAAAAAGTTCCAATGGAGCATTACTTACCTGCAACAGAAAAGGAATAACTTGGTCACAAATGGTGGAAAGAACAATTTTTCGAATATATTCAACACCATATTTATTTCCACAATTCAGCAAACAAGGATAAAGATAAGTCAACAATATAATTAAATTCTATATACCATCTTATTTTTATTATTATCTTATCTTATAATTATTCTACTACTATACGTAACTCGTCGGAGCCCCAGCGCTGAGACAGCGACACCTTCCTTTTCGGACACTAAACCTTCTGTGAGCACAAGCCCTGTTCCCTCACCAAAATATGATCCCCACCATAGCCTCCAACCATTCTAGCCACAAATCTCCCACCCTAGTTCCAGCAACCAACCCGCTAAGTTACTCTCTCCATCCCCATGGACTCACAGTGTCCCTAACATAACAAAAATTTGGTAACGCCCATTGGGGTTTACCCAATTGGGCTTAGAGTTACTCTGGGTCTTTGGCCGAATCAAAATCAGCTTCTGATCAATATTCTTTCCTACTTTATAGTGGGCAATAAGACAATGACAAGCGAGTCCTGAGAGTATGACAAGTGTGTTCTGAATGTATGACAAGGGTTGGCCTGGTAAAGCTGCTGACAAGCTGCATTTCAAGCCCGGTTGAAGCGGACAATAGCGGCTGATTTACCGTACGTGCTCCCCGAGTCCTGGGCGGCACCTGACGCAGGGTCGGGCTAGCATCCGAATTTTGTTAGGAAGCACCCACCATCTCCTCCATGGGGTTGTGTCCTCCACTCACCCTGAGAGCAGACCTCCTCCATGGGGTCGCGTCACCCACTCACCCTGGGAGCAGACCTCCTCCATGGGGTCGTGTCCCCCACTCACCCTGGGAGCAGACCTCCTCCATGGGGTCGTGTCGGCTGCCATCCTCGCTGATGTATCCTGGAGGCGGGGAGCCGCCGGGCGGCGCCATGGAGCCGCTGCAGCTCAAAGGGCTGCTGGCGCTGGACGTGGAGCACGCCTGGCGACAGAAGGTGACAAGTGGCAACACGAGGTGACACAAGTGGCAACACGAGGTGACACAAGTGGCAACACGAGGTGACACAAGTTGCCAAAAGTGGCGACATGAGGTGACAAATGTTGCCATAAGTGGCAACACGAGGTGACAAAAAATGCCACAAGTGGCAACATGCTTTGGAAACCATATGGCAACACGTAACACTACAACATGGCATCAGGTATAGTAACGCATGGCGCCGAACGTGTCAGCACATAACAGCCATATTTTAGTACCTATACATACCGTAAAATGGGGTAACTTAGAACACTTTTTTTCTTATAAATGATGCCATTTTCTTACTAGCTAAATTAAACTTGAATTGAAACATGCAAAATACAGGTCTATACTCTAGCTTCACTCACCATAAATTGCTGGCTCCTGCCTCTCATAGTCTTTATGTAATTTCAAAAAAAGTGATGGTCTTTGTTACCCCAGCTGTTGGGGTAACTTAGACCAGGTGGTAAAATCAATTATTTTTTTTTGGTAAAATAACTCCAAATAACTCCAGGTTTTGGTGCATTGTAGTAGAACTCTTCTAGTTACATATGCAAATGACAAACTTGAGGAAAGTGTCATAGTTTGCAAATGGGGGGCGCCACCCCATAATGAGGGAAATGTGACTAAATAATGGCAGCCCTGATGGGGTAATATTGACTGGCTTGGATCTTAAGTTAAAATTACCATATATAAGACTCTGTAGAGTCTGAAACATAAAGAAAAAACATAAATAGGCTGTCAAACATATAATATGTTATATATGGTAATTTTATATTAACTTCCAAGCCGGTCTATGTTACCCCGTCAGGGCTGACATTAGGTGGTCTAAGTTACCCCATTTGGGGGCGGCGCCCCCCATTTGCAAACTATGACACTTTCCTAAAATTTGTCATTTGCATATGTAACTAGAATAGTTCTACTACAATGCATCAAAACCTGGAGTTATTTAACCAAAAAATAAAAAAATTGGAGGGGGTACTCTGACAGGCTTTAAATAATAGCTTTTTTTTTGTGGGTCACATTTTTAATTTTTTAACCTATTAGATATGCAAACTTTTTAAATCTTTCTATTGTGTTATGTAGCCTCAGTATTAGGCCTTTAATGCCCATTGACAAAATTTTTCTATGTCAAATAGTTTTTGAGTTGTGGGGGTTTTTGTACAAAAAACGAAAAGTTGTCTAAGTTACCCCGCCGGTCTAAGTTACCCCATTTTACGGTAAATATATCAGTGATTTTTTTTAAAAGAGATTTTGCCACGAATTTAAAAGTTATTCGAAAAATCTACCTATTTGAAATGGCGGGCAACAAGGAATGTAATCAGCAAAGACATTATAAAATCTGTTATAAATGAGTTTTATCAACACTTGTTATTTCTATCACTAAAATAAAGAGTCATACGATAAACTGTTCAACTACAATATAAATTTGACAGGCGCGGGTACCGGTAATGCTCAAAGGTGTAGGCCCAGATAATTTATTGTCGGTAAATAACTCATTATCATTAAATAATTAATTATCATCAAATGCCATTCATTATCATTAAATAATTTATTATCATTAAATAATTGTACGGAAATATTAGACTCACAAATCGAGTCGGTGAGCCCATTTCATTGAAGCTGCCGTTCGAGAGCTGGGGAAGGAACCCCGAGGCGAGGGAAGAAGGGGAATTACTGCCATCCCCTTGGACGAGGGAGTCGCTCATGGACACTGGGGACGGGGATATGTCAACGAGGGGGTTGAGATCCTCCAGGGATGAGGGGTCCAGGGCGGGGAACCCGGCGGGACAGTTGTTGGTGGTGCCCGCAGAGCAGCTGATGAAACCGTTGCTGGTGTTGCCGCCCATGACGAAGTCGCTGGACTCGTTACTGGTAACGAAATTGTTACCGGCGTCAGTGCAATTGTTACCGGTATTAGTAGTACCGTTGTTTATACCATTGCTGGTCATTGGCATGTACCTATTGTTAGGCTGTGACTGCTGCTGCTGTGGGGCATGCATATCGTCCATGGATGACATAGTCCCGAGCTGAGTTTTGTGCGAGGCAGAAGAGTTAAGCAGCGGCTGGTAATGCGGTGATCCCGACGGACTGTTATCATTTTTGATGATGTTGATGCCATTTGATGGCATCCTTTGTGATGATGTGGTGAGACCAACGTTAGCAAAGCCCTTGCAGAGACCAGCACCCGGGGAGAACGTATCGGTGATGTCCTCGAAGTCTTCATCTGGAGACTCTGCCTTGATCATTAAGTTGTTGTCTGGCAAACCTAGGCTCTTGGCCGGCATTGTTGCGATGTTAGGTTTAGAGTCTTCGTTGAACTGACGCGGGCTGAAGGACGGGGAGGTGATGCTGGTGGGTGGTGAGAAAGAGAACTGGTGGTGGTGGTGCTGGTTGTTCTGGTTTCTTGGTACCAGGATGGATGGCAAGTCAGGATAACAGACGCATGAACCGTGCACAGCACTCCCGTCACTCCCTGAAATTTTAAATTATTTTTATATAATATATTACGCTCAATACCAATAAATGTCATGCAGAATAATGTAATAATGATGCTGAAAGTCTCCTCACTGTAATAAAACTTTTACTCAAACTTACATGCCTTTTTAAAATGTGATTGTTTCCTGCAAAAACTGAAAACAAAATATACCAAAATATCACAAGTTAGTTAGAGAAGGAAATGAAATTTGTGAAGTTGCAAACAGAAGCACGAGGCCAGGATCTCGATTCAGTAATGATTTCAGAATCCAAATAATTGTAATTCATAACAAAGAATGTGAATGAATGAAAATACCTAGCTAAAAATACAACACATTAACTGGTAGGTACATATCACAGATGAAAAGCTAGGCTGTAAATTTCACAGCTGCCATCATCAATATTAATAAAAATTATTCAATATTTCCCATAGCTTGCATTATGATGAAACTATAAATTTCTATCTCACTCACACACCATAGAGCTTGTTTAAACCACTCCAATACTTCCCATAGCTGGCATTGAAATAAAACATTACATTTCTACCTTATACACACAAAATAGAGCTTGTTCTAAATGCCATCTAACTGTACAGACATGAGAGCCTGTGGAAACATCCCCATAGAAGAGTAGGCTTGTATGACACCATTAAATTTCTATTATAATAACATTTATAAAAATATAATGTGTTGTGCTATGTTCTACACAATGTATTGTATGTACTGTAAAGAACAATGAATATGCAAACCATAGTGGCCATATTTACAAGAAAAACAGGTCAATTTATTCAAGTTAAATTTTAATCTAGATAATCAGGAAGTTTAATTTTGTTGCATTTCTTTACTGCCAACAGGAGGGTTTGGCCAGTGATACTAGCATGGCTAATAGGAACCATAATGTCAGAAATGAAGGACATCTTACTGCTACTAGTACTATAGCTACTATGAAGGGCAGGTTATAGCTACTACCGGTATAGCTACTATGAAGCACTACCTATACTGATGTCTAGTACCTACAAATTGCAGTGTCCTTATGAATTGCAGGGTATAACACTCGCCTGGAGGAGCAATTTTAGTGTAGTGGTATGGGTTAATGCAGACAAGTTCTTTCTTGAGGGAAAAAGCGTACGAGCAGTGGTTGAGGGGACGCAGCTCGTGGTGGCTCTGCAGATCAGGCCAGCGCCACAGACGGCAGTAGATGACGTGAGGCAGGCCTTTGCGGTGGCTCACTTGGAGGCGACCGTCCAAAGATCTGTAAAACAATGAACAGACTAAAAATAAGATTGAAAAATGTTAATGGCATTTTAGTGTTCTTGAACAAAGATTTGTTGCTAAAAAATTTCAATGCATCAAAGTTTTGCAGGAATGGATGAACAATGTTGAATTGCATCTTGGGATAATTTGTGCATTAAGGAAGATAGGTAATAATTATTATTATTACAATACCAGCCTGATCATGAAATTGGCTGATAATAATGAAGAGCAATTTTGGTTTCACCAAGCTTTTAAGCAACAACCTTGATCATTAATTGTTATCTATAAAAATACAGTCCATATTTGAACTTGAATTTTTGTCTAAACTAATTGCAGATTGTCATCAATCACTAACCTAAATCTGTACAAGTACGGTACCTATTACAGTACATTTCATCATTTGGATAAGTGTAGGTATGCCACTAAATAGGCAAGACTTGAATTTTAAGGACTGTATATTTGGCAGTAGTTGCCTCCATCATGCCATTTCAAGGGAGGAAATGGTTGATACTCTTTCTTTGGAGCTCATATTACTGAGATACTACTGCACCAATACGGGATCCTGCTAAAGCTGCATGTCAGAATATAATGGGCCTTATATGGTGGAGATTTCAGCAAGCCTAATTGTCTTCATATGACAATAAGAGATCTCCAATCTTCAGATCATCCAAGTTTATAGTTTTAGTAAGCATCTAATACTGCTGCCAAATTCATGCCAATGCCAAACCAGACATACAATGTTTCTATGGCTCAAAAAAATAACACATTCCAGCAACTGGCAGGAGTGCAGATGTTGCTGCTGGGAGGCATCTACCCATATTTTTCACCCAACCATCTGCTCTCTATAGGTATATGAATTATTGTTGAATTAATGTTGTCTTATTAATTAATTATTGTTGAATGTACCGTATGTTTTCTTTCTGTTCTTTTCAGCCTGTAAATTCATTTACTAATGACAACTTTGCTGATTATTGTGATAGTAATTGAGAGACTATGCAAGTGCAATTGCTGATCCCTAAATCAATAAGTCGTTAAGTGGAACTGCCACAAGTTGTTGGTGAGTTTAATTAGGTGTGATCCTTTTAGTTGCAAAGATGTTTTGTGAGTGTCCCATAATTTTGCTACATGCTAATCTGATTAATTAATTTTGTTAGTGCTTCACTTATCATCCAATGTTTATTGCAATTCTTATTTCAACTGTCTTTTGCTTGCAATTTATTCTTGAATGCTTTGATTTTGTGTATTTATCTTGAAAACTTTACAATTTTACCAATTACTTGAGCAGTTTATCATGGTTCTGGTTTTAGCTTATCTTTGCAAATGTTTTTACTGATTTCACTCCAAATATTATTATGTTTGTGTGTTTTGTTTTTTTGTATTTCTTGCTTGCTGCATGCAACCACTAGCCATCAATTAAGAATCTATTTTAGGGATTTGCTGCATCAGTTCAACACCCAAATTTCCCTTCAGGCTCAGTATTATTATCTAGTTGGACAGTATATTGATTTTTGTATTATTTATTTTTCAGTTCACCACTGATGAAACATATAACCCTGTCCATGCTCCCTATCCCTACTCATAACTCATAACTCCTGAATGCAATTAAACTCATCCACTCATTACACTGTACCCTAACCACTCAATAATTAGCTATTCTCTTGTACATCATTTTCACTGTATTTTTATTTCAATTCACAATATAAGACACCAGTCTCAACTAGATATAAGGGTTGTTGCCAAACCACACTCAAAGTAGGTAACATGGTTACCTCACTCGCAATGTGACACATCTACCCAGCAACAATTTGGTGCACATGTGAGGTAGGTGGCATATGACCCCAAATATCAGCAGCAACACCGCCAGCATCACACAGAGGTCCATGCACTGGCCCGGCCAAAATACAGGCTTCAGGCCCGCCTTCAGGAAATCCCCGCCTCCCGAAAGGGAGGCGGGGATTTGGTGATTGCTGATTTGGTCCCATAAAGGGACGCACTCCAACTGCGAGCAGGTTGACAACATTTGGAAACTACACCAATACCTACGCAAGATACAGGTAGATCCAGTCACACATCTGTCCTCTCTTTGTCCACTCTGTCACAGACATGAACACAACACCAACCACCTGTTCGGCTGCTCAGAACTGGTCATGCCCTTGTCGCCCCTGGTTTTGTGGAGCTCTCCTATCAAGGCGGCAGGGCTGCCTTTCCGTGGGCTGGCCACAGAAAGGGTGTAGGCCCCGTCCCGCATTTGTCATGGGATGGGGAGGGCGAACAACAACAACAACCCCATATCATTCTTTAATGAGCTATATTACGCTTAACTTCCACATAGTAAGTTAAAATTCTGCTAAAGGAATATTATATTTAATACTGTAAACTGGGGTAACTTTGACCACTTTTTTTTCAAAATGATGCCATTTTTTTACTAGATAAGTTAAACTTAAATTGAAACATGCAAAATACAGGTCTATACTCTAGCTTTACTCACCATAAATTGCTGGCTCCTGCCTCTCATAGTTTTGATGCAATTTAAAAAAAAGTGATGGTCTTTGTTAAAGTTACCCCATTGGGGGGCGGCGCCCCCCATTTGCAAACTATGACACTTTTCTAAAATTTGTCTTTTGCATATGTAACTAGAAGAGTTCTACTACAATGCATCAAAACCTGGAGTTATTTTACCAAAAAATAAAAAGATTGGAGGGGGTACTCTGACAGGCTTTAAATAATAGCTCTTTTTCGTGGGTCACATTTTAATTTTTTAACCTATTAGATATGCAAACTTTTTAAATCTTTCTATTGTGTTACGTAGCCTCAGTATTAGGCCTTTGATGGCCATTGACAAAATTTTTCTATGTCAAATCGTTTTCGAGTTGTGAGGGTTTTTGTTAAAAAAATGAAAAGTGGTCAAAGTTACCCCGCTGGTCAAAGTTACCCCATTTTATGGTATATAATTACATTTCATGAGAATTTTGGGCCAATTTTGACCCTTAGTAATTATTGCCACATGACTCACATGAGCACACTCACATTCCATTACAGAAGAATTTTTTATTATTTAATTCATGACAGAATTGCATTTCATGTAATATGTCACCTTGTTGACTTGAGAATGAAACTGATAATGGAAAAAATATAACTCAGTATGGTAGGTACTTGCTGCAGTGAGTGACAGAGAGCGCATTTTCTTGTTGACAAAAACATGGTCACGCACAGACAGACAGACGGACGGACATGACAAGCACAATAGCGCCTTTTTTTCCATAAATGAGAAAATGCGCTAAAAAGGTAACAAAAAAGGCACACTCAATTTACAAAAGTTTGAGTAAATTCCATAATTCCTTAATCATGCCTAGCTTGTGGTCATTTTACCTTTTTTCAACATCCTTACATATTTTTTCCGAAAAAAAAATTAAAAAACTCAACTCTTTTGACCAGAAATTTTTAAAAAATTGCATGTGAAATTATAGTTTTTACCTGTATGGTAATCTAGAAAATTCTGCTTATTCCAGATTAGTTCTCAGTCCAAAAATTCCAACTTGATTTTCTATGGAATCCTAAATGTATTTATTTAACAGTCTGGTACATCACCATAAAAACATGATCCTATAACACAAAATAATTAATTCATTTTATTATGTGTTACTGTTAACCCTTTAGCGGGCAAGCATTGAAATATCCAGAAATTAAAATTTCAGAAACCATTTCAAGAAAGTAAGAAGTATTATGAATTTTTGCAAATTTTGCCTATTTAAAGGTTTAAATCGCACTTGAAGAATTCAATAAATGCGATCGGTACACAAAATTTTTCTTTATAATTAAAATTCAGTTGATGCAAATGAAAAATTAGAAACATAAAAATTTAATTTAATTAAATTTAATCAAGTTGCCAAAATAAATAAATATATATTGATACTTCCACCTTTTGAAGTACCGTAAATGCGGAAAGAGCGTCAATTCCATTGTCTGAGTCGAAACCTTCATTTAAATGCTCATAGCTATTTCAATTTGTGGACTTTGCAGCTGGTGATGCTATAGATAGAACGATGGTCAGATAATTAGTGATTGACTTAGGCATTATAAGGATGCCTCAAAAACAAACAGGGAGCCGTGGTGAGGCGTTTTGTGACGCGATTTCTAGTGATCATATATGGTAACTTACCCGTGAAAGGGTTAAGTATCAAGTATCAACAACAACCACTATTAACCATTTCTATGTAGTATGTACTATATGTAGTAACCCAATCTGGAATTTACCACAACAATTTTCCAAAAATTACAGGCCACACAGGGTATAAAACTATAAATGGTCATTTTACACTACAGGGTACCAGGCATGGAATATATCTACTTGGTGAGCCGCGACTGAATTTTTTGAGCCGTGGTTTTATGGATTTGCCAGCCGTGATTCCATTTCTACGAGCTGTGATTCTATTTCACCGAGCCGTGAATTCCATATCCCAGCCATGAAAAGCCATTTACAAGGTGCGAATTTATTTACAAAGTCCATGCACGTGTTACCCCAAATCTCTAATTTTACCCTTAAACAGTCAAACGGCAACAATAAAATTTGTCTCTACTGTAAGTTCAGCACGTGTTAGTACAGTCTGACCGCTTTGACATGACCGCAAGTCCGCAACTATGCGCGATCTTCAACAAAACGTTTCGTTGATTTGTTTACATTACGATGTTTATGTTTTTTTTCTGCAAGATATTTTTGGCGGAAACGGTAAAGCAATGCGGATTGCGGAAGTTGAAAATTTTATGAAATGACATGTTTGCGAAGTGCAAACCGCGATTTTTTAATCAAACAAAAATTTATGACATTTGAGCCGCGAGATTTCATACCTACTGAAATTATATGATATGAGAGCCCTGATATTTCAGACAAAAATAGGACTTTTCCAGACTAGCAGGGTACTTTTGAAAATTGTAGACAAAATGTGCTGTTAGCCTACCTATTGACTATATTTTTTGTGAGAAAAAATTCTATCTACTGTACAATGTATTCTTTTATATAAATTATCATTCTAGAATCTATAAAAATTTACAGATGGGTTTTGACAATAAATAAATTAAAATTTTCTAGCTGTTACTAGACTACTAGTGTTAGGGTTAGCGGTTAGCCTATTAACAGCATAACAGAATCAAGATGGCTAGGTATAACAATTATTACTGCTATGGTTGTATAGAAAACATTTGGAAATAAAAGAATTCAATCAAGTTTACTTCAACTTGCAGGTATTTTTACTAACAATAAGACATAGCTAGGCTAGTAATATATTAAACAAGTAATTAATTTTAAACTAACATTGAAACTTGCAGGGCAGGATAAACAGCACCTGACTGTAAATTAAAAATATTTAACATTATTAATCATTACCGATAGTATTGATTCGAAGATTGGGATTAATGAATTTAGTCTTAGGCTTACCGCGGGATTGTAATACACCGAGTATTGACGTCAGCTTGAGTGATGGCACTTTCAAGTTCGTCAAGACTGCCTGTCTTTTTTAGTTTTTTAACAAGTGACTTAACAGCCTTCTCGCTCCACTTGTCTTCGCCTTCTCCTTTCTTAAACCCGAGCAGTCGTTTCACAATAGGCGGATTAAATGGCAGCATCTTCAAGCTGCCCTAATTTATCAGAGAACAGGTTCAATAAGAGCGTGGTGAATGTCGCGATCAGCTGATGGAAGTGCCACAGTGCCTCAATCAAGATCTCTGTTCACGCGCCACACACGCACAGAACCCAGATGCCGCAAAACTCCCCTACCAGACAGTAATCTACGCAGTCGTCATCAAAACAAAAACTAGTTCCCTATATTTACTGTAAAATTTATTTATAATTTACAAGTTTAGGGAGATTTTTTGGATAAATGCTAAATATATATATTTTTTAAGAAGAAAGTTAATCTTAAATGCTTAGATCGAAGTATGTTTTGACAAGTATTCCTACGCGTCTATTCAATGATATCTGCGCAAGTTTTAACCCAGGCATAGTTTATAGTTTAGCAGGTTTATTTGGTTATGATGGCTTGTAATTCTGGGAGCAAATTCGATCGTGAATACTCACGGTATCTTACAGTAATTATTTGATCGTATATTAGCATTATTTACTTATGTGCACTATTGGACCGGAAGAAAATGGAGAAACTGATGTATGTTAATTAAATTATGGCTTATCAGTTACTGGGCAAACTTAAAATTTCGGTATTCATGAGATTTAAGTGTATTTCGAGTACTAAAAAACCCTGGTATACGGTAAAAATGGTGCTTAGGCGGTAGGCCTACATGAAATTGTGATCAACTGCATGTTTACGGTAGCTAACTCGAGTCATGAGATTGAGATGCATTATTAGTCCCAATGTGGACTACAGTTGTGGATGCTTTAATATGTCGCTGATGCCCTGCAGTGCGTTGTCCGAGGAGGCGGTGCTGGTGGCATTGAGAGAGAGGATGCAATTGCTATCAGTCCAATTTCAGATTAATATGTTTCAATTAGAACTGCCCACGACCGGCCGTTTTCAGTGCATTCTCATTTCCCCATTGTCATCCCCAAAAAAGTTTTCTCTACTACAATATATACAGAAAATATTTAATTGGCGCACCTACAATAGTAAGGAGCTAGGCGGCAAAATTCAATTTGTTTATGTTGGTGACGATGCCAATTCGATGAACTTAGAATATTGGTTTGTATAAATTTGGTGAAGCCGATGACTTGAAATTACAATTTAATAAACGCGGGCTCGAGTTATTCGAGTTTTAGTAGTTTTACCATTTACATCATTTCAATTCATGAATTATTTTATAAAATATGAATTTTTTCAATGTGAAGTGGTCGGAATTTCGATATTTATTCTTTTGTATTCTATAATATATAGCAATATATTATACAATATACGACGTTAAGATATCTATTAGGATGACGTGAACAAAGTTTTAGAACTTATTTCCAGCTAAACATTATATGTCAGTTTTGACGCTTATTTGCCGTGGACTTTACGAGTCTCTACTGTCAATTATTCATTCAAGAATTGGAATTTCGCCAACACGACATTCCCTTTATTAGGCATTAGGATATTTATTATCTTATTTGGCATTAGGACTTTATTAGGATATTCGTTAGGAATTAGGATATTTGTTAATTTGAAATATTATATTACTTCATTGAGAATGAATAGATTCTTCATGTATGCACAATAAGTTATAAAAAACACGCAAATTATAACCATTTATCATTCGTTATCAGGAATCTATTACATATTTAAAAGTGTGGTCGTATTTTTTTTTGTAAGCCTGGTGTAGTTCTACTCGCGTGTCCATGATACTAACAGTGACGCCATGTAATATTATGGCGTGCAATTTAGATATCGTTTCATGAAGCCTGACGCAAAAAAATAGAATTTTCTACAACAGATTCATATTCTTTCATTAATGATGGAATGCTATGACAAGTAAAAAAATTAAATTAAACTGGAATTTCAAACCGACGCATTTCATCAAATTTGTTTTTTTTAATAGACATTTCTTCAATTGAAACAATTTTGAGCATTTTATCAATTGTTAGCTAGACCATTTTACATATGTAGATATCGTGAACTTTTTGCGATTAAAAATTCTCATATCGCGCAGCGCCAGAGGCATGGGCTGAGAACTATTTATATTGATTTTATTGGAAATTTAAGTTAAATTTTCCATTTTAAACATTTCCTCAAAATGAAAACAGAAAAGCATGGTCATCAATCTTTTTCTGGGATACTTCTCATCCAATGGTCTTCATCTTATTACAAATCGAAGCTTATCTCTTGACAAGCACGGTAAGTTGTTACATTATATTAATTTTAATCGAAAATATTGTTTAGGATTTTGAATATATCCTAGAGCAAAAATTAGCTCGGATAAATAAATTATACTTTCGTAATAAAACTTTTTTAGTACAGCTCCATAAGTTGCGATAAAAATAACATGTTCTGTAGTGAATTTTACACGATAACGTTTGTAATTCTAGCACATATAATTAATTTGAATTAAAATGCATAGTGATTTTTTATGCGCCATATATACTCATGTGTAAATTAGCATTAGATGGCAGAATTTTCTTATTGAAACACGTACGAATAATAGTATAGTATAGCATAGTATAGCATAGTATAGCATAGTATAGATGCAGTGCTGGAGGAACCCACCAGCATCATCATCATGCAGTGCTGGAGGAACCCACCAGCATCATCATCGTGCAGTACGTGGCGCCCAATATTAACCGACCGACGATGGCTGGCCGATCTCAGCCATCTGTTTTCAAACTACCGAAATTGTCTGAACTTTGAGATAGTTTCCAGAGTCATTTTCTATTTAAAATTTCCTTGTTGTATCCTATTTACATGTATTATGTACTTATGTCCACCAAAATTTCATTCTTCAATGCTTCTATTAACTTGAAAATGAATGTTGATACATTCGAAATTTCGTTAAATATATTTTAAATACTTGCTGAAACCTGCTTTTTGATCTGTTAACGTCATCTGAAGAAATTTGATTCCTTACAAATTGGAATATAATGCATTCTCTGGTCATTATTTGTACGTGTTTCATGTGTAAATGCGTACATGTGATACCAAGTCACGGCAAAGGTATTTGTCTCAAAGAAAATCTAAGCTTCCTACCAAGACGGTTTAGAAAGCAGAAAATGGAATTTCTCAGCAGAATTTCGTTGGAGTTGGGGCTGAAGAAGTTCAGTAACCTAGGCTGGGATAGGCAAGAGCCATTCGGAACGTCTCTTGAAAGCCACGTTCCCGATGAAGTTAGGCTCATGCTGCTTTTCCTATACAAGTGGAAAGCTAAAGTGCAACGTTTAACTCCTCCACATCTGCAGCAGCTTCTCGAAGCGGAAAATATGAAAGTGCGGCTATACAGTGGCAGGATTTCGGCGGAGTATCTTTTCAAAATAGAAAGAGGAAAGTTGTTTGCACGATACTTGGACCCTTGCACGATATTCCTCACAGTTGGCAACTACATCGAGAGTTCACCGTCGTCGCTACTTCAGCCGCCTGAGACCTGGCATGAATTTGGCCATATGATTGTTGAAGACAGCCATGGCTATCACCCTGAAGTCATGAAAAAATGTCTGACTTTAATTCGTAACATGCCGAATGCTAACCAAAAACTTCTCGCGATGCTTCTGCTGGTCTTGCGAGAAGCGTGCGAAAATGAAAAGGAAACTATCGTCGAAGAGGATTTATGGAAGATCTGTAGAGTTTATAGTAAGATCTTCTTCAAGAGGAAGACATCGAAAGATTGTCACATGTGTTCGTTTTTGGACAAGAAGAGATGCTCGATTGCTCAACGCATTGCTAGGTATTTGATACGCTGGAGAAGTTACGACGAGCTACAACCATTCGCTGTAGAAAATTCGGAGCTTGAATGAAAAGATGAAAATGAATAACGGCGATGATAAAATAATTCAACTTCACGTGTTTAAGCGGTATAAACATTTCGCAGTGTTAGTTGTCGCCATTGGAAATACAAATAATGAAAATGCGACATACAAATACTGAAAATATAATAAAATATTAGGCCAGAAGCAAAAAAGTCAATTTCAAGACTTCCGAAGAAATATAAGGTATGAAATGACGAGTTAACAAAATTATGTAAGAGAAATTCGAGGATCAGAATATTTAATGTGTAAAGCACTTTGGAAATCGACGAGTTGTAACTTGGCGGAAAAGATGTAGGTTTTTGTTCCGCTCATCGCTAAACCTGACCTCAGAGCGTTCAAAAGAATGCGTTAGTGTTCATAGTAATGATTTTGAGGATTAAATCTTATAACGGAGGAATTGTGGCTAAATTTGAATTATCTGTATCATTTCTTGATTGTTTATCAAAATGTATTTTTTCTAATACCCAAATTTTTTATTCTGATTGAATTGATAGTTTAGGAACAAGTAGAGTAAAGGCTTATTTTATTTGTTAAAACCAATCGTTCATCACAAAATGAGATGAGAAGAATGAGAATAATCTAATGAAACGAGAATAATACAATGAGCCAATGAACTGTAAAGGATTCAAAGGTGCCTTATTAAATTTTTATTCAATTTTCTTATACAAATATAAACTATTTGGACAGTCCTGAAAGTTTGACTTTATACTGACAATGCAATTTTTTCTCCACTACATTATGGAGATTTTTAAAAGATCTAAAAAACTGAAGGTGACTCTGGGCGACACCAGAGCGTGGCGACAATAGGTGACACCACAGCGTGGCTACCGTAGGTGACACCACAGCGTGGCGACAATAGGTGACACCACAGCGTGGTGACAATAGGTGACACCACAGCGTGGCGACAATAGGTGACACCACAGCGTGGTGACAATAGGTGACACCACAGCGTGGCGACAATAGGTGACACCACAGCGTGGTGACAATAGGTGACACCACAGCGTGGCGACAATAGGTGACACCACAGCGTGGAGACAATTTTAGAAGTTCTTCAGGATTCAAATGTAAAGTGACTGCTCATTATATTTACTGCTCAGGCAATTAATTCCATTAATGTTCAGGATACATACCATGACTTTAATATTGTTCAGTATAACACCAAGTTTTGCAAGTAAACATGAGCACATAACAAGTTGGCGTAAGTAAATTCGAGGAACAATTAACATAAAATAAGATCAAATCAAAAATTGAGGTTTATTGCATTATTTGAAAGGCTCAATCTCCATGCATGGCAGGATTAC